TGCCTTTCTTGGTGGGAATATTCATATCTTTCTCTATGCATAGAAATATATATTTGTATAGCTCCATCTGTAACTACAGATATATGTGCAAGTAAATGGAAAAGTATATACAGAGTTACTGCATACATATAGATAACTGGGAGACTCACAGGCAAGTGGATGGGATTCTAGAATTTTATATCGCCCAAACTATCAGGAAAACAACCCAGAAGTGCTGGGAGCTGGGGAAAGGGGACATGTGGAGGAAAGTCCCAGTGACACGGCTGGGAGGTGGGTTGTGATGCCATTCCTACTGCAGTGACCTGACTGCCTGGTGGCAGGCAGGCAGACACAGCGATGTCATTGAGTGCATCACAAACCCCATGGGACACAGGCGGCAGATCTGGCAGGGGACAGCTCTGTTGAGCCACCATGGCTGGGCTGCTGCTGCTGAGGTCACTTCCTCACAACACTGTGATGGGCCAGGAGCAGGCAGGCCTCAGGAGGCCATCAAGAGCAGCAGCTGTGGAAGCTGCAGGCAGATGCCTGTGCCCTGGGGAGGGCTGCCCTGCAGTGATGCCAGCTGGACATGGGGTGGGAGCCTGTGGGAAAAGGCACAAGGAAGTGCTGGGTGTGACAAAGCACAGCGGGAGAAAGGAGCAGATTACAGGCAGTGCTGTGAGGGACAGCAGTATCTCACATGCCCTTGGTGGGCAGAGATTTGAGCGATGGGCAAATGGCACAGAGAGATGGAGGGGAGTAATGGGGACCAGAGGTCTGGTCCTTGCTCTAGAGACTCCAGATACCCTGTACCTGATCGCATCTCTCTGTCCTGCCTTCTTCCAGTTGCAGTTGGTCTGGGTGTGCTCAGCCGTACACGCTTGTGTGTGCACATCCATGTGTGCTTACAAGATTGTGTCTTTGTGTACACATGGCTGGATATTCTTGCAGACACCAAGTCTAGGTGAGCTTTGCCTTTCCTAAAAGCATATGTCCACCACAAAGGTCAGATATCTAAGTTTCTTTTTTGGAGCCTGTCCTTGCTGTCACCCCCTGGCAGATCCTTCATGGCCCCTCTCAGTGCCCTATCCCTGCAGCGTCCCAGCCCCACTGCCCCACACACGGTCCCACAGCCGTGCTGCCAAGGCAACGCACATGGCAGTGCACATTCAGGGTTGGGTCAAGCTCCTGCTATTACAATCCCAATTTCACATTTGGGGTCCCCTCCTGCCATGGCCCTCCTGCGTTTGCATCCCCATCCAGCCCCCAGCTGTGGGAGTGTGGCCATGGGGGTCGACAAGCCCCATGGTTGGTGATAACATCGGACTCTTAATGATGAGACCATCAGGAATGTAAAGAGTTTAGAGGGAACAAAGAAGGGTGATTCAGGAGACCCCTTGTTGTCTGGGGTTGCTTGTTCTCCAGCCGTTAAGGCATGGAAGATGCTGGGTGTTTGCTGTTGCAGGGCAAAGTTGTTGACCAATGAATAGTCAGTGGAAAAGTACTGCTGGGGGGCGAATGGTATAAGAAGGGAGCCTGTCCTCGATAAGGGATAATGAAGTTATGTCCTCAATATGAGAGATGAAGTTAGGCCCTCAGTAAGAAAGAGCTGAAGTTATGTCATCAATAAAGATGTAGCAGTTACAGATCCTAAAAGAACCCTGGTGTCCGTGTGGTCATTATGCCACACCCGGCCCCTGCCCTGACCCATCCACATCCCACGGGAGCCTCTGCAGACAGCCCTGCTCCATGTCTTCAGGGCTCTGGGCCAGGACAGAGGCCAGCAGGGCTGGCTGTTCCCCTGACACAGGCCCTGAGCCTGGCACAAGGATGGAGATGGCCTGGCAGCCAAATGCACCCCTAAACCTGGGAGCAGCCAGTGCTGGACATGGATGACAAGAGGTGACGAAAGCCCTGGGCCACCTCCCTGCTCTGTCTGTGCCTGATGGGCACAGCCCGGCCTCCTCCCTCCTGCACCAGCCTGTCCTCCATCCCTGCCACACGACCCAAAGCCAGCAGTGGGTGTCCTCCCCTTGCGTGGCTGCACATCCCAGCTCAACACAGATGTTTCTCTCTGCTGGGCAGCTTCCAGCCTGGCCCAGCTGGCCCCCAGCTCTCCCAGCTCCCTGTCCTCTGTCCACCTCCCAGGCTGGGATGGCCCCACAGCAGTGCTCACTGCAGGCTGCTGCAGGGCTTTGGGCATTGCCACCACAGCCCCAGTTTCCATTCACTCCTGATCTGCTGAGAATGGGTCTCAGACCAAGATTTGTTTGGTTTAAATACACAGAGAGCCTGTTTCATTGTTTAGAGAAACCATGGGTCACACAGATGGGAATACTTAGATACAAGGGAATGGAGAAGGGCATTTCTGTGTAGGCAACATTACCACAAAGCCAGAAAGGAAAATCAAACAAATGAACAAGCAAACTCCATATGGAAAGTTCCTGGGGAGGAATAACCCCAAGTAGCAGAACAGGCTGGGGGGGTGACCTGCTGGAGAGCATCTCTGCAGAGAGGCACCTGAGAGTCCTGGGGGACAGCAGGCTGAGCACGAGCCAGCAGTGTGCCCTTGTGGCCAAGAAGGCCAACAGGATCCTGGGGTGCATTCGGAAGAGTGTTGCCAGCAGGCCAAGGGAGGTGATCCTCCCCCTCTACTCAGTCGCGGTGAGGCCCCACCTGCAGTCCTGTGTCCAGGTCTGGGCTCCCCAGGACAAGAGGGACATGGAACTACTGGAGAGAGTCCAGAGGAGGGCTACTAGGCTGATTAGAGGACTGGAACATTAGATTAATGGGCCTGTATAGGAGAGGAGAAGACTGAGGGGAGACCTCATCCATGTGTATAAATATCTGAGGGGAGGGCGTCAGGAGGATGGAACCAGACTCTTCTCAGTTGTACTCAGTGACAGGACAAGAGGCAATGGGCACAAACTGAAGCACAGGAGGTTCCAACTGTATATGAGGGAGCACTTCTTTACTGTGAGAGTGACAGTTTCACAGAGAGGTGGTGGAGTCTTCCTCTCCGGAGATATTCAAAACTCACCTGGATGCCATCCTGTGCAATGCGTTCTCAGTGATCCTGTTTGGCAGGGGGGTTGGACTAGATGATCTTCAGAGGTCCCTTCTAACCTTGGCCATTCCAAGATTCTGTGAAACCTAAAGAAAACAGGGAGACAGGTAGCCTTGAGATATCAGAAGCAAAGGAGATAAGGGATGGAAGATAAAAAACAAAAAGGAGAAAAACAACTGCAGGAAGATTCCAGACTGACCTTTTGCTCATTAAGGGTCACTAACATATTAAAAATCACACCAATAAAAATGGTAATGTATGCTAATGTGGAATATGGTGTTTTCCCCACCTGCCTCCCAATACCCCTCCTCCCCCTGCGCTTGGTCCTCTGTAATGCACAAACTCAGTAGAGGTAAGTTAGGAAAAGCTGAAACAGCCAATTAAAAATAGCCAGAGAGAGAGTTTCTCAAGTTTGCTGGTGTAAAAAATGGTGATTCAAGCTAGATGTATGCTTGTTTTACAAAAGTTCACCAAGAAACCTGACTCTGCAGAGTTCTATAATTACTTATTTAATTAAAAGACCTTTGTGTGCATTCTGACTCTATGTAGATCTCCACACCACAGCCTGTGGAGGAGCCCCCAGTGGAGCAGGTGGCTGTGGCCTAGAGGAGGCTGTGGCCCATGGAGAGCCCCTACAGGAGCAGGGGATCTGGGGGGAACTGCTGCCTGTGGGGGACAACAGTCTGCTCCTGACAGAGCAGACCCTAACATTACGCACCCATGTAAGAGCAATTATTGAAGAGCTGCTGCCTGTGGGAAGCACACACAGGATCAGTTTGGATAGGACAGCATCCCATGGGAGGGATCCCATGCTGGAGCAGGGGCAGATAGTGACCCTGAAGGAGCGGTGGAGATGAAGCATCATGGACTGACCGCAGCCCCCATTCCCTATTCCCCTGAGCTATTTGGGGGGTGTAAGGAGAAGAGGATGTATGGAGGGCAAGGTGGGTTTTAGTTTGCTTGTAGCTCCTCATTATTCTAGTTTGCTGGTGATAGGCAACAAATTATATTAATTTCCCTACGCTCATTCATTTTTGCCCATGACAATAACTGGTGACTGTGACGATACAGGGGGTTGCAGTTGGACCAAATGATCTTGGAGGTCTTTTCCAACCTTCTATGACTCTATGATTTCATGAAACTTGGTGGCTGATCTGATCTTACTAGGAGAACAAACCCTGAGCACCTTTCATCATATTTTCTCCCCCTTTTCCTTTGAGAAGAAGGAGTTAGAGAGAGGTTGTGGTGGAGTTGAGCTGCTTAGCAGAGTAAAACCACAATAGAAGGCAAATGGGAAGGGTTCAGCACCAGAGCTGGGGCCATCCAAGGATGGCATCTCAGCACCCAGGACATGATCTGATATCTCCCAGGGAAATCTGGCCCTGGATTTTCCATCTTTATGAGGATATGCAGAGCAGTGATTAAAGCAGCCTTTGGGCTCAGAGCAGCCCTAGCATCAGGACCCAAGAGTCCTGGCCGCCCCATTGTCCCTTAGCAAAGTGGAACCCTCAGGAAGGGCTCTCAGAGCAGCCACCAGCCCCGTCCAGCCCCCTGCTTCCTCCCCCCCTAAGCCCAGGACTTGCAGGTTTTGACAGCTGACAGCAGATAGAGGAGGAGAGAAGGGTGGATATCTTTTGAATCATTTTAGTTCACTTTTTATTTTTCTTTTTATTTTTTTTTCTCACTGCTTCAGTCTGTTAATAAATATTACCTTAATCTCCCTACAGGGTCTGCTTCCATGACTGCAATTGATGAGTCATCTCCCTGTCCCTTGTATAAACACAGCAGCCCTTTCCAACTCCATTTTCTTTGTCTGTACCTTTCAGGAGCAGGGGTGAAAGAGTGGTGTGGTGGAGTTCAGCTGTCCATCAGTGTGAAACCACTGCAATGCTCAGACCTATTGCTGACACCAGCTTTGAAAGAAGAGGCAGGATTTCAGGCAGTGCATTGGAGAGATGCTGTTTTATTAAGCAGATGCTAAAGGAGAGTTGACTCTGACATGCAGGGAGGGAAAAACTGTGCAGAGTAAACAGAGCAGTTTAATACTTCAGGAGATGCTGGATGAACAATAAGCTTTTATAAGAAAGTAAAAAATGGAAAGAAAACTAAGGATAAAGATAAAAATAACAATACTCTTAATGAAACAAGTACCAGGCCTTCAAAGCATACCCAGGAAGTCATTTGTGGAGAAAGAGGAAAAGTTTATTACCATTCAGAAATGTCCATGAAATTCCTTTCCTAATAGCACTCTTGAGCTCCTTGTTTCTCATGCTGTAGATAAGAGGGTTCAATGTTGGGGGCACCACCGAGTACAGAACTGCCATCACAAGATCTAGGGTTGGGGAGGAGAAGGAGAGGGTCTTGAGGTAGGCAAAAAAGCCAGTGCTGACAAAGAGGGAGACCACAGCCAGGTGAGGGAGGCATGTGGAAAAGGCTTTGTGCTGGCCCTGCTCAGAGGGCATCCTCAACACAGCACTGAAAATCTGTACATAGGAAAAAAGAATGAAAACAAAACAGCCAGATGCAAAACAAATACCAACCATAAGTACCCAAAGTTCCCTGAGGTAGGAATCTGAGCAGGAGAGCTGGAGGATCTGAGGGATTTCACAGAAAAACTGATCCACAACATTGCCTTGGCAGAGGGGCAGGGAAAATGTATTGGCAGTGTGCAGCAAAGCATAGAGAAAGCCACTACCCCAGGCAGCTGCTGCCATCTGGGCACAAGCTCTGCTGCCCAGGAGGTTCCCGTAGTGCAGGGGCTTGCAGATGGCAACATAGCGGTCATAGGACATGATGGTGAGAAGGCAATATTCCGCTGATATCAAAAAGAGGAAAAAAAAGAACTGTGCAGCACATCCTGAGTAGGAGATGGCTTTAGTGTCCCAGATGGAATTGGCCATGGCTTTGGGGACAGTGGTGGAGATGCAGCCCAGGTCGAGGAGGGCGAGGTTGAGGAGGAAGAAGTACATGGGGGTGTGGAGGCGGTGGTCACAGGCTATGGCGGTGAGACTGAGGCCGTTGCCCAGGAGGGCAGCCAGGTAGATGCCCAGGAAGAGCGCGAAGTGCAGGAGCTGCAGCTCCCTTGTGTCTGCAAATGGCAGGAGGAGGAACTCGGTGATGGAGCTGCTGTTGGACATTTGACTCCTTTTGGCATGGGGACCTATCTGAGGAGGAAAATACAGAAAAATGTTAGGCTCTATTCTGTGAGCAATATGTATTATATTTCTTGTTAAACCTCAAAACTGATGCTCTGCTTTCAGGAAAACCTCTTAAGCAAAGGAATCCAGTGCAAATTCCAAGTGCAAATATCCAATCTCTTCACCTCTTGAGGATGATCTCAGTTCTCCTCACCTAGAAAGTGATAGGGAAATCGTTAAACTTAATCACACAGAGATGTCCAGCAGCATTTCCATGCCCTTAGCCCTCAGCTGTCTTCTCCATGGATAGCACAGAGCTGCTATGGCAGCCATAGTGGAGGGCAGCCTGTACCCCAGAAGAAACCTTGCAGGAAAGTAGTGGAATGCCCTAGAAGTGGGTGATCTGTAGGTAGGGTCAGTTCATTCACAGCCCTGCATAAAGCATTTCCAGAGCCCTAGATGTGATGAGGGGACATGGAGACTTATTCCCCATTAACATATCTGCATGACAGAACGTGCAGCATTGGTGCTTGAGCTGCACCTGAATTATGCCTTACATGGTTGACTCCAAAGGCGACTCATGAACAAATTCCCATGCAATCATGTCTGAGGGTCTATACTGCGGGAGGGGAAGATGCTGGAGGACTGCAGTGTGAAAGGCAACAACAGTGCAGGGAATGCAGATAAATGGCAAAATCCCCCTCCCATGTTGTCTCTGGGAGCAGCTCCCTCTCACTCGCTGCCGATGGCTGTGCTGCCTGCCGCTGTCTGTGCCTGCAGCTGGGTCTCTGTCCCCACACCTCCTGCCTGCAGCTCACAGCCCCCATCCCACCCGCTGGGTGCTCAGCTCTGCCCTGCAGACACCTCCTGGCAGCAGGGCTCTGCCCAGGGGCAGCTTGCTGGGAGCACGTCCTAGAGCCCAGGGCACACAAACCCTGCTGACACTGCACGAGTGGTGGTGGAGCTTTCTAGGGGCTAAGGGGCAGGATAGGGATTTACTGGGGGTCCTTGTAACCTCCTTAGGATGCCTTAGGACTGTCAGGCTTTTCTAGAAAATAACATCATATATTTCTATTTCCACTGAGCCAAAAACAGAAACTGAAAGGAGAGGCTAAGGAAAGATGAGAGTGAAATTCTCTTGGTGTGCTGTGGATCTGTGAGCAAGCTGCCCCAGGCAGCAGCCTCCCGCCAGCAGCAGGACCCTGCCCTGCTGGGGGGGCTCCTTCCACCCGCAGCTTCTCCCCGCAGCGCCCTGGGCAGCTCCCCGGGCAGGCTGAGTGCTGAGCCTGGCAGGCGGCAGAGGCCCTGCCCCGGCACACAGCCCCTGGGCCACAGCAGGGACCCTGCTCTGCACCACAGCCCTGGACACCCCTGCCTGCACCCCCGGCTTCTCCTGCCTCCAGGAACTGCGGCTGCATTGCCCTCCAGCCAGAGACTTACCGGGTGCAGGGCTGGGAAGTCTTCTCCCCCGGTGAGCTCTGGGCATGCTGCCACTTCTGCCTGCCTTTAAGCACTGTGTCTCTGCAGGCAGTGCCCCCAGCCCTGCTGCGCTGTGCAGAGGAGCTGCTCCTGGGCAGAGCTGTCTCTCTGCAGCGCTGCCCGCTTGCCAGGAGCTCCCCTTGGGCCCAGGAGCCCGGCCCAGCTCAGCAGCAGAGGCCCAGCCCAAGGCCTCCCTTGCTCTGCCCCCCACCAGGCTCCCTGCACATGGCCCTGGGGCTGCAGGGGAACCTGCTGGGAAACAGCCTGAAGGGATCCCTGGGCTTCCCTCCCTCACCTGGGCACACACACTTCTCACCAGCAGTGTCGTTTCTCCTACTGGAAATAAGTGTGCAGAAGTAGAGAATTACCTCTCCATGTCCCATCAATAGGCAGGACACCAAGAGATGGATGGGAGGGGGAGAGCTGAGGTCCTCTATCCCTTCAGAAGGAAGCCATTCAGATGAGCGTTTTCAAGCCCAGGCTCTTGGGCACAAGGTCTGGGACAAGTCTGAGTTTGGCCCTTGTGCCACAGCTGAGGTGCTGCAGCCCAGATGTGCCCCAATGCCCTCAGCCTGGGGCACAGGCAGGAGGAGCTGGATCCCCGCCTGCTGTCACAGGGCTGGGACATTGATGGAAGAGCTGCTGAGGTGTGGGGGGACAGGTCCCTCAGCTTGGGGTGCTGTGCTGGATGGGGGCAGATTGTTCAGAAGAGACAAGCAGGGATGATAAAGAGCAAACACGTTTGCCTTTCCATCGTGTATCACCTCTTCCTCCTTCATGGCAGAACAGGGAATGGTGCTGAGGCCTTCTGAAATCTCAGAGCCCCATGTGATGGAAGGAAGGCCCTGGCATGCACTGGAATTCCCTCCATATAACACATCCTACTTCTGCAAGTGAGCGACATGCAGTGAAGAGGAATTCAGGCACACTGAGGGGCTGCTGCATCCCAGGTGCCTTCACTCCACTTCCTTTATTCCGTGGCCCTTGTCAGCATTTGGATATGTTCCTCATGGATTTGTAAGGAACTGCTGGAAAATAACAGGGTAGAAGAAAGGTATCTTTTTCTCAGGACAAGAAGGGAAATCTCTCATCATTCTCGCGAGCTGTCCTGTCTCCTTGCTGCTGAGATAATAGGACTTTAAATGACATGTGCTGATGTCACAGGGAGATGCCCTGCATCACCAGGATATCATCACTGGAGCAGCGGCAGTGCCGGCACTTCCCTGCAAGGCCTGGTCCCTGCTGGGCACTGCTTGGGTGCTCCCCAGCGCTGTCCTTCTGTGGCCAGGAGTGGGGTCAGCAGGCAGCAAGCTTGCACTGGGCGACCCTCGCTGACGGGCGGAGGAGCAGGGGCACCTTGCAGAGGATCTGTGGTTGAGGAGCCAGGGCGGGCATCCCTTGTCCTGAGCTGAGGGCTAGCAGCAAACGAGATGGAGGGCTGCTGGAGCATGACAATCACCTCTGACATGACTTCCCAGTTACCAGTGCTCCTGCAGCTCTCCCCCAAAGGTAAGGGTGTCAGGAGCCCCTTCCCAAGATGTGTCACAGGCGCTGTCAGCTGTCCAAAGCTTTGCGGGGGGCTGGAAATGGCTGGTGGCTGCTGCAAGATCCTTGCCTGAGTGTCCCTCTGGGCTTAGGGAAGGCTTGGAAGGCCTGGCCACAATAGCTCCTTAGTGGAGATGGAGGACAGGCAGGAGCTGTTCAGATGGAAATACCTGCTGAAATTTGAGGTTGATCCTTTAGTCTGATGGGGCATTCCTCAGGCCAACTGAAATGCCAGCAGATGCCACATGTAGGACAACTGAACCTGTCCCTACTCCTTATGTGCAGGGCAGCCTGCAGAGGCTGTCAGCAGAGCAAAAGGAGTCATGTGTCACAGGCAGAGCTAAACCTATTCTGTTCTCTTTTAAATGTTCTCTTTTTTCCTTTCTCTTCTCTGTGACCCTTGGCTGTAATGGCTGTTGTGTCTCGGACATCTCCACAGGGCCTCAGCTCTCACCAGCCAGGTCTCCCTGCCCTTTGTGCCTTGAGGCAGGACTCTGCAGGGGTACAACAGGTGGTGGGTGGGGATAAAATCCATGGTTACTTTGCAAACTACACCCTTAACAGTCCATGGGACCTAGGGGCCTGCATCCAAGGGTACAGGGAGAGTGTTCTGGCCTGGAGGTACTGGCTCCTTATGATCCCAGGAAGGGATCAGACAGCAGCATTCAGGTGCTGTAAGAGATCATTTAAATGCTCTTAGAGCTAAGACTATAAGGAGAGAAGACTATAGATCATCTATTGAATTTGGTGTGACTTCATTCTAGACACAATACTCCACTGTTAGTCTCAGATCTCCATTACATGTTTGCACTGACCCTATGGGATTATTAAAGGTGAACAAATTTTGCTGATCAGTCCTTGGCTCTGCAGTTGATGAATCACCATATATATGGGAATCAGGGAATCTTGGATGGTGCCATATTGCCACTGGTGCACCATTTGGGTAGCTACTGGCACTTCGACCCTCAGCAACCCCACAGCTGAAGGATCCTGTGAGGCACCGGGCAAGGTAGAAAACTGTTGAATGTGCATAAATCACCATAAATCACCTCCAGCATGGCCAATTGCATCAGATATGGGCTGCCTCTCTCCCTGGTTGCCCATTTGCCTGGGTGACATACAACATCTTCCTTGAAGGGATACTTTTCCTTTACACCTGACAGGAGTTACCTCAGGAGAGGGAGGATTTGTGCCCCCTTTGCAATTGCTTTGTCAATGCCCCCTTCCCTGGAGAGGGATCCCAGCTGCTTGGCTTCCCTGCCCTCTAATTCCAGGCTACCGGCCCTGTTATCCACGTATCAGAGCAGCCAGGTGACAATGTGCTGGCCTAGATGATGGCTGAAATCTAATCACACATCTCACAGCTCCCCAAGGAATAGTGATCAGATGCTTACTGCTGCTTTTATGTTATCTCTGTCTTCGTCCACACATTTCTCTGATGGCTTTACTTGGGAGGAGCCTGCCTCATCTTCTTCTTCCTCCTTCCCTCTAGGAGTAGGAGCTTCTTTCCTGATTTTATTTTATTCACATGTATATATTTGACTGATACAGGCACAGGTTGGTTCTCTAGCCCAGTCACAGGGATTGGAGTTCTGTAGATTGCAACTCAGCAGTCTAAGCACCGGCACATCGCAGTGATTTCTGTCACTTTGGAATTGTCAGGATTCTTTTTTTTTTTTTTTTTTTATTTTTTATGATTCTGCACTTCTTCAGGGGTGAACTTAGAAAGCATTGGAAGTGCCCACAGTTCTAGGTGCCTGCCCATATCCTCCCACACACCCTGCCCCTCATAATTATCCTGCCTCAGGGCAGATCATTGTGTGGCATTCTGAAATAGTTTACTCTAACCTTAAACAAAACCTGAAACACATTCAGGACACATAACAATATGTACAGGCTGGTTTGAACATCCCATGGATTCAAAGTTTTGAAGAGCTATTGTAACTAGATGTGGGAAGAAGTGTTCCCCCTCATCCCTTCCATAGATTGGC